TGATGGCGTCCGGGTCATGTGATGTTGGTGTCCCGGTCATGTTTTGATGGTGTCCCGATCATGTTTTGATTGTGACCCAGTCATGTTGTGATGGTGTCCCGGTCCTGTTTTGATGGTGTCCCGGTCACCTTGTGATGGTGTCCCGGTCATGTTGTGATTGTGTCCCAGTCATGTTGTGACGGTGTCTCGGTCATGTTTTGATGGTGTCCCGATCATGTGATGGTGGGGCGGTCATGTTGTGATGGTGTCCCGATTATGTTTTGATTGTGTCCCAGTCATGTTGTGATGGTGTCCCGGTCGTGTTTTGATGGTGTCTCGGTCACGTTTTGATGGTGCCCCGGTCATGTTGTGATGGTGTCCCGGTCATGTGATGGTATCCCGGTCATGTTGTGATGGTGTGTCGGTTATGTTTTGATGGTGTCCCGGTCGTGTTGTGACGGTGTCCCGGTCATGTTTTGCACATGTGATGGTGGCGCGGTCATGTTGTGATGGTGTCCCGATCATGTTTTGCTTGTGTCCCAGTCATGTTGTGATGGTGTGCCGGTCCTGTTTTGATGGTATCCCGGTCATGTTTTGATGGGGTCCCGGTCATGTTGTGACGGTGTGCCGGTCATGTTTTGATGGTGTCCCGGTCGTGTTGTGACGGTGTCCCGGTCATGTTTTGATGGTGTCCCGGTCGTGTTGTGACGGTGTGCCGGTCATGTTTTGATGGTGTCCGGGTCATGTGACGGTGTGCCGGTCATGTTGTGATGGTGTCGTGGTCATCTTGTGATGGTTTTCCCGTCATGTCATGTTGGTGTCCCGGTCACCTTGTGATGGTGTCCCGGTCATGTTGTGATTGTGTCCCAGTGATGTTGTGACGGTGTCACGGTCATGTTTTGATGGTGTCCCGATCATGCGATGGTGGCGCGGTCATGTTGTGATGGTGTCCCGATCATGTTTTGATTGTGTCCCAGTCATGTTGTGATGGTGTTCCGGTCGTGTTTTGATGGTGTCCCGGTCATGTTTTGATGGTGTTCCGGTCATGTTTTGATGGTGTCTCGGTCATGTTGTGATGGTGTCCCGGTCATGTTTTAACGGTGTCCCGGTCGTGTTGTGACGGTGTCCCGGTCATGTTTTGATGGTGTGCCGGTCTTGTTGTGATGGTGTCCTGGTCATGTTTTGGCGGTGTGCCGGTTGTGTATTGATGGTGTCCGGGTCATGTGACGGTGTGCCGGTCATGTTGTGATGATGTCCTGGTCATCTTGTGATGGTTTTCCCGTTATGTCATGTTGGTGTCCCGGTCACCTTGTGATGGTGTCCCGGTCATGTTGTGATTGTGTCCCAGTGATGTTGCGACGGTGTCTCGGTCATGTTTGCATGTTGTGATGGTGTCCCGATCATCTTTTGATTGTGTTCCAGTCATGTTGTGATGGTGTCCCGATCATCTTTTGATTGTGTCCCAGTCATGTTGTGATGGTGTCCCGGTCATGTTGGAATGGTGTCCCGGTCATGTTTTAATGGTGTGCCGGTGGTGTTGTGACGGTGTCCCGGTCATGTTTTGATGGTGTGCCGGTCCTGTTGTGATGGTGTCCTGGTCTTGTTTTGGCGGTGTGCCGGTTATGTTTTGATGGTGTCCGGGTCATGTGACGGTGTCCCGGTCATGTTGTGATGTTGTCCTGGTCATCTTGTGATGGTTTTCCCGTCATGTCATGTTGGTGTCCCGGTCACCTTGTGATGGTGTCCCGGTCATGTTGTGATTGTGTCCCAATCATGTTGTGACGGTGTCCCAGTCATGTTGTGATGGTGTCTCGCTCATGTTGTGACGGTGTCCCGGTCATGTTTTGATGGTGTCCC